CATTTAAAACAGGCCTGCCCCGCCCCGCCGCACCGCACCGGTAGCGGATGCAGGTGTAAGTTGAGGGCAGGATGCACCTCGGTGTAGATCGAGACAGAGGGAAAGGGAAGGGAAGCGGGATGCACCAAATTGGTGACAGAAAGAGGTCACATATACAAATGAAGGTGCGACCGGAAGGAGTACGGAGTCGTGAGGTGTGAGATTGCGCGCACTATGACGGGGCTCACAGAGTTTCAAGCCATGTAGTGGGGATCACGTACCCCTGGTGGTTGGTAGGGGCCAATACGCAGCAACGTAGCCGCTCGCCAACGCTGCCGCCGTCGCGACAGGAAGTTCCCACTCACTCACCCGTGACGTAGTTCCGGTTGGGTAGCAAGTGTCCGACGCGGGACCTCAGGCCGACGACGCCGAGCATGAGGGAGGCGAAGGCCGAGAGCACGCCGAAGTCCAGGTAGTACTGCCGCCCTTTCTGTAAACAGGACGGGAGAGACAGAGGCGTGAGTTGAAGTAGTGGCTCGCAGGCGCCGCGGCGCGGAAACCTCGACGCGCGGGGCCACCAGAGAGCTGCGCGGCACTCGTGCTCACCAGGCTGAGGATGTAGAAGGACAGGACGGTGGTGAGGGCGCCGCTGACCAGCAGGACGATGCCAGTGCCGAAGAGCACGCCCCGCGGGGCCTTGGAGCCGAGGCCCTTGCCGGGGCCGAGGCCGGGCAGCGACAGCCACGAGGACTTGTTGGACTTGTAGGAGGCGGGCGAGCAGGCGGGCGAGCCCTGCTGCTGCGGCCGGAGCGCGGGGCCCAGCGCGCCGCGCGAGCAGGCCAGCTGCTGCATGTCCATGGAGGGCGGCGGCGACAGCGGCGTGCTCGGCCCCGGCGACAGCGACTTGCGCCGCGGCGAGCGCCGCATCAGCGGCTCCATGGAGCTGTGCTGCTGCGACAGGAAGGAGGCCTGCATCTCCGCCATGTCGTCCTCCAGCTCGCAGCGAGGGCGGGACCTGCGGGGCAGACACAGCGTTATCGAAGGGCTCGCAGGATCGATGTACCCCCACCACCTCCACCCACCCACGGCCACCCCTCGAGGGCACGTGCAGCCCCCCGCACGTGTCCGATTGTGTGGGAGGAGAGGATGGGGAGGATTTGGGGGGGGGGGGACCAGCGCATGCAGAAGCGGCACGACATGGGGATTTGGGACCGCAACGGCAAGGTTTTGTGCACGGCGACGCATTTCCACACAGAGGGCTCTCCAGCGTGGGAGCTGCTCCCAGCCAATAAAGCACCCACACACCAATAAACACACTCACGCACTATCTCCACAAAACCCCCTCCTCCCCCCTCTCACTCACTCTCTCTCTCTCTCTCTCTCTCACTCTCTCTCTCTCTCTCTCTCTCTCTCTCTCTCTCTCTCTCTCTCTCTCTCTCTCTCTCTCTCTCTCTCTCTTACTCTTTCTCACTCACTCGCTCTCGCTCACTCTCTCTCTCTCTCTCTCACTCACATACTGTAAAACAGACACACACACGTTGACTCACCCGTCGCCGTAGGCTCGGCCCGAGAGGTCGTAGCCGGTGTAGGAGTTGGGCGCGATGATGGCCGTCCTGCTGCCGGACATGGAGGCGGTGCGGCGGTGGTTGTACTGGGGCTGCTGCTGGTGCTGCGGCAGCGGCTGCTGCTGCCGGGGCGTCCTGGGCAGCGGCTGGGGCGACATGGAGTTCATGAGCGGCGTGAGGTTCCTCCGCGACGTGCTGGGCGACACGAAGGGCACGGCCTTCTGCTGCTGCAGGCGCAGCGGCGAGGTGGCGGGCGAGCTGAGCACGGCCGTGGGGGTGGCGCCGCCGCCCGCGGAGGCCGCGAAGCGCGCGGCGGGGGTGGACACGCCGGCCGAGGCCCCCCGCCGGAGCAGGCTGGCCGCGGACGGCGAGCGCACGGGGGCGGCGCGTCGCGGGGGCGTGCCGGCGCTGCTGTTGCACCTCCTCGTCGGCGTGGCTTTGCTGGGCCGGTGCGGCGGCGGGGGCGGCTGCTGGGGCGGCGGGTGCGGGTGCGAGCGCTGCGGGACGGCCTCGTACCGGTGGCGGGGCTGCGGCTGCGGCCGCTCGTTGAGCTGCGGCATGGACTTGCCGCCCGCTAGCATGCGGCGCTGCTCGTACGTCGCGATGCCCTCGAAGCCGCCGTTCGCGCCGGGCGCCGCGTGCACGGGGGACGCGCCGACGGGTGGCTCGCGGGCGTCGCGCGACGTGAGCGAGGTGCCGCTGTCCTGCCGCTGCCGCCGCTCCAGGTAGTGCTCCTCGTAATCCGTCTGGTCGGAGAAGTACTCGTCGCCGTCCACCAGGGCCTCGTTGGAGTAGCCCTGCGGGCTGTGCGTCTGCGACGAGTGGCGGCTGCTGCTGCGGCTGCTGCGGCTCGCGCTGCTGGACCGCGGGGCCGCGCCGCTGCGCCGCGGGGCGCGCATGCTACCCCCGATGGGGCCGCCGCGCGACGGCTTGTCCACATCCTCGTACGCGTCCCACTCGTAGGAGCGGCCCAACGAGGCCGCCATATCACATATCACTCACTGCTTCACTTTGGTTCGGCACTCGCGGGAACGACGCGCACCGGTCGGGGTTTCACTCTGCACTGAACCCTTGGCCCTGGCCTCACCTCGCCGGCCGGCGTTTGCTCCCCATCCGTTCCCCGCACCGCCCCGCCCCTCCCCTCTCCGCCGGGGGTGGCTTGGTTGGCTGGTTCCTGCCGCCGCTACTACAACAACGACCGCCGCCCCGCTACCAGCAGCTGCTGCTATTCCAACGGACGCGCGACCGGCCGACGACCGTCTGCCTCTCAACCCTCCTGCACCCCCACCCCCCCTCCTTACGTTTTCCCCTCCCTTCGCGGTCTCGCTTCCTCTCTCTCTCTTTTCACTAAGGGTCTGTACTGTATACCTTCCCCACATGTTGATAGAAAGAGAGAGAAGGAAGAGCAGGAGTGGAGGGGAAAGGGAGGGCTCCGATGTCCACACTACATACCCATACGAAGTGCGGGGAGTGCGGGCCTCGAATCGCTTCAGGACGGAGGAGGGCAAAGGGGGAAGGCGGCGAGGGACCAGGGAGGACGTTTTGGTGGAATTTAAAAACCCTACAAGAAAGGGAAAAGGGTAAAATAGGACGTCGCCAACCCTTTACATATTTGACGTCAATGGTCAAAGCTGAACATTAAACTATCTAATTTTTATTGCAAGGGAGCGAGACGCTATAATCTTTTAGTGAAATAAAGCAGAGGTGAGTGTGGGTTATATATTTTCGGTATTTAGGCTATGCAATTACTAAAACTAAGCTAGCCTTTTATGTTCATACGTATTTGTAAGTTTTGGTTCCATAACGCGCCGATTTTAAAATCTGTCCTCTCGTTACAAGTTTACAAGTCTCGTTTCAATTCGTGTTTTGCTTTCTATTTTGAAAAGAAAATAGTGTAAGGCACTGGTACCAAACTCACAAACCGAACAGCTATTTACTTTTTTTAAATTTCTTTCGGCTAAGGATTTTTGCACACTCGCAAACCGCCCAGCTGCTTTTGCCCCTTGCAAGCCAGCCAGGGCCACCCCGAGCTCATACCTCCACTCTCTCTCTCTCTCTCCCTCACACACGGGGTGCAGCCCGCCGGCTCCCCCACCACCGCCGCGGCCGTTACACTTTGGCGCGTGCCCGCACCATCTGTGCTGTGCTCCCCCTCCCCTTCCCCCTCTCACCGCCCGCGCCTCCGCGCGCCCGCGCATAGGTAGAGAAAGACATGGAAGAGACGGGCAGGAGGAGGAGGGTAAGGGAAAAGATGATGATGATGATGATGATGATGATGATGATGATGATGATGATGATGATGACAAAGATGATACTGTTGGCAAAACCGAGAGAAGTGTGGCCGTAAAGGTGTGCAGCGGCCGGTCAGAGTACGACCTAGCCTAGCCTTAGACGGCCTAGCTGACCACCAGGACCGCGCGAGACAGACAGACAGTACGAGAGAGGGTCACGACGGTGTGGAAGGTGTCCGTCGCTGCCCGCTGCTCGGCCCTGGCACTGGGCGAGCCTGCAAAAGGGGTGCGCGAGCTTCCGGGCGTCCGCAAAGGAACCGGCCGGCGGCACCGAGAGAGGAGGAAGGAGCGCAGGAGGAGGATGACGACACGGGGAGACCCTCTTTTTACTCCCCGGCTGCCCCGCCGGGCCGTGTGTGCAGCGTGTATTGTCTGCGGGGCAGATGCGCGGTGCTGGCTGGGCACGGGCCCCGCGCGGGGGAGCGGGAGGGTTGGTGGGGTGTCCCCTCGCTCCGCCCCTCGACCACCCCCTCCAGCCAGTTCCCTCCCGGCGGGTATAACCTGGGCACGAGCCAAACGGTGGTGAACACCTTGCACCCAGCTGGGCTCTACTCGCCGAGGGCCCCCCTCTCCCCCAAGCACTTCCCTCACCTCGCCACCTCCATCCCTGCGGCGGCCCTGCGGCCCGTGCGAGCGCAGCAGCTGCAGCGAGTCACACACGTAAGCCCCCCCCCCCTACCACCCCTCGCTCACCCGCTGCATCCTCCTCTGCTGCAGCTCGAGACAACCAGCATCCTTAGGGGCAGCCAGCGCGCTCCACAGCTGTTCGCTATGCCGCCGCCGCCGACCCTTCTTCTGCTCCCGCCGCCGCCCGGAACGCCTCTGCATGCATCGAAGCAAACGGTCGAGATTTCACTTGCCGCCATCGTCGCGCCCGCCCCCGCCAAGCCGCCGAGCGTGGGCGCTCGCTCCCTCCTGTTCCAACCCTCTCTCCTTCTCCCATCTCCATTTACACTTACCCCCCCCCCCTTTTCTCCCTGACTCTCTGCGCCGTTTGAATGGGCGGCCTGGCCTAGCTAGCGTCAAGGAAGGCTCGGCTCGCTGGTTAGCCACGTAAGGAATGCCTTTTTAATTGAGGATTGCGAAGACGTCGTTGACTAGCAGATACATGCACTGCAAGCACCGCTCTGCGGACGGGCTGGGCTCCGCACTTCCTGCTCGCGGCGACAAGCGCGGCCGGGGGGCGGGGACCGCACGGAAAAAAGAAAGGATTAGTCAGCTAATTTCGTATAAAGCAATCGATCGAAAGTAAGGTTGTGTTAACGAATAAACAGTTGTCAGAGCGAAAAGCTGACTGCCACTACGAACCTGATCGTCGCTGCAGGAGGCAATCCGTTTTTGTTCTAAAAACAAACCTTGTAGTGAACTCATTTGGCAAGTAATGTCCCCATTGAATTGCTTGAATAACGTCGCAGCAACTAACTCGTCGCTCTGACAACTAATTAAATCTATTTGTCATCATACGGAGAATTTTAACTAGATTAGAAAGAAATTAATTAAGTTCGGATGACTACTTTTTCCTTTTTTGCTGGTGCAGCATGGAGAGCTTTCAGGCGGGAGCGTGTGTGGCAGCTATGGTAGAGCCCTGCGGAGAGATGGTTCCAGCTGTGCACGGCGACAGCACCGCGCGACAGCACAGAGCACAGCCCGCCGTCGCAGGAAAAACGTAACTTCGCGTGGGGGTGGGCCCATCGGCTCCTGGCTGTTGTAGTGGTACAGCTTGTAGGCGGGGGAGTAGGCAACCCGCACGCATGACTGCATGCGGTGCAGTATCACCATACAGGGGCCCCGGGGCCCCCTTTGCTCGGTTCTTTCGGCAAAGCTCTCGCTCCATCTCGCGCACTGCGAGACTCCGAGAATTGCAATGCTGAGCCTGGAAGCGGAGTTGCTGTTGTGAACACACTAGTCCTCTAGAAGAGATGGGGTGGTAAGGTCCTACAGAGTGCCGCGAAGGACATCTAGACTCAAGGAAGAGGCGGCGACCCGGAGGCTGCTGGTCCACCAGCGGGCGACTGCTCGGCGGGGGTGATTGGTGGTTATACCGCCGGGACGCGAGGCGACGCTCAGCGGGCTGCGTGAATGTAATGTGAGCGAGAGAGAGACAGAAAGAAAGAGAAGGAGAGAGAGAGTGAGTGAGACAGAGAGATGACTGTGGAGTTGGCGCCGCACCGTGTTGTAAGACTCGCCTTCCCATGAGATCATTGGGCCTACGGTCGCCGCCGGGTCCCCACGACCGCTTATCAGGGACCGTAGTGTGTTTCCGAGGTTTCCGATCCAAAACCGGCGCAGCTTTTGGTGCGGCGCGCAGTGGACATCAGTGGAGTGTGCGTGATACAGACGATAGAGACGAGAGATGTCCGTACAGCCAACCACTGTCCTTTTCGGCTGCTGTAAAACCCTCCATGAGGTGAACTGTGCTGGAGCACGTCGCAGATCGTTCAGACGCACACGATGAGCGCGCGATTCGGCGGCATCTTGACCCAGAGAGCGGCGGCGCACGTATTCACAGTCCGCCGCAGCAGCCTTTCGACAGGTACAAAGCGATTCCAGGTGATTCCAGGCCCAGGCGTGGCATGGCGCGGCGTGGTCGGGCGGCAGGCCCCCTTGCTGGAATGCCGCAGCAGCAACAGCAACAGCAGCAGCGCCAGGCAGTCGCGTCGCGACCCGGTTAGGGCGGAGAGGCTCTGGGTTACCCGTTCCGGTCCTGTCGCGCCAGTCGATTGCGAAATGCATACGAAATGCAGCTGCTGCGGCGATGTTGGTTGTTTGGTTTCCGCACGACGAGGGGCCCGCGACGGGTGTACTCGGCGGGTACTGAAGCAGCAGGTGCCTCTCTTTGGCGGGGTCACCCCTGGGGGGTCACCCCCTCGCAGTACCCGCGCACCGCCACCGCCACCGCCACCGCCACCGCCGAGCCACAAAATGTCAGCTGCAGAAAATGGTGTTGGTCGCCGGTCGGTTAAGACTTCTGGCCCTAATATTGAAATCGCCCGTTACATAACGCGGTGCGGACAAAATACCCGTCGTTGTCGCCGCTGCCGCGCGCGATGCCTTTTGCCTCCGTCGATGGACCGCGGTTACCTCGGAGGGTACCCCGTACAGGCGCGGACCTCCACGACGACGGCGGGTCTCCTCCATAAAGAGACTTAACGACTCCCTAATGAAAGTCGAGCCCAGCAGAGAGCGTCGCGGGTCGTCAGGCGCGGCGGTCATGACCAATGAAATTCGAGTCGATACGACGGCGGCGGCGGCTGCAGGCCGCGCGAGGGGACGGTGGTGCACTGCACTGGGGGCGCCCAAACCGGTAGCCTCATCAAAATACCCTCGACAAACACAACACACGCGAGTGGGTATCTCACAAGCATCGCGGCCAGAGCGGCTGAGCGCGGAGCGGCGCGCGGGGGACGCGGGGCACTGCTATGGGCAGCAGTCGTTGGGCGGGGCGGGAGGGGGAGGGGCGTCCTCTCGGAAGAATAAGCGACCGTTGGCGGGGCGCGCTGGGCGCGCTCCTCCGCGAGGCGCGGTCTGGGCGAGGCGCGAGCACCCAGGAGGAGCTCATGGAGAGGC